AAGTAGAGAGGTAGCTGGATCTTTGATAGCATTACTGTATAGGCAGCATAAAGAAATAAATATTCAGGCCTTAGTAACTAGACAGGCAAAAACCTTTGGGTTGGAAGTCTCAGAGGTACCACCAATTAGGCCACTAGAATAAACTATTAAAAAAGGATATTGAGCTAATCTAATATACTGATAGACTGGTTGTAGTTCTACATAAGCTATTTAGATCAAAAGTCTGATGAAATTTAGAGGTATACTAAAGTACTAAGGTTATACTATAAAGTAGATGCTAGGGTCTAAGTAAACTCTATAAGAGCATAATAGTTTAATAGTTAAGTCCTGACTACAAGTGTTGGTTTTGCCATAGTGATACCTAGATCAGTTATAAAAATAGATACAGAAGGGTCTGGAAGGTTTATCTTGAGAATAAATTAGTTTTAAAGTTGAGATGATAATCTGAGTATTTGGATATGACCTAGTGAGTTAATACAGATTACAGGTTCAGAGAGTTTAAAATAGAACATCCAAGCAGGAGTGTTAGATATGGCAATTGGTAGGAAACCTTCAGGCAGACTTTTTAAATAGATAATATAAAAAAGTTACACATATAGCCAATTGTATACTTTTCTGTAGTAGTTTATTGAACCACAATACCAATAAGTGATTAATAAAATCAAAAGACCAAAGAGGTCACCTTAACACAAAAAAAAAAATTATTATTATTTTTTTTTTTTTTAATGTTAAAGTTTCTGTCTTTGAAAATTGATTTTTTTATTCAAGTATTTGGACACAGTTGCAACCAGGAGCTTCTATATATAGAAGGTTACAACTAGTCACATGTGTACTTTTGGTGTCTAATTTAAATAGTTCACCTATTTATTACTATACAGATTCTATTCTAGATGTCATACTTGCAAGCCAACTTCTTGTCTTGCCTATTTAAACCTTCTACATATGTAATCTGACTTATGATCATGAGAACATCTTCTGGGCTACACCTATCCAAAGTATGCAATACTTTCAAAATCCTTAGAACTAGTTTATCCTTGATAGAAAACTTACTAAAATCTTTCATGTTTTACACACAGCTGATCTAGATTTATACAACATGCTATAGTTATCTAACACTTGCAGTTACAGGAGTTACCTGTTTAACTGCTACATTACACTATTTTTACCTTTGTAAAGTTCACTAGAATCCCAGTACCTATTATCATAACATCTTCTTTATTATCCCATACTAACTGTTACTTAGAACTAACAGAACTCTTATGACTTTCAATTCAGATAGTCCAGATAGAATACTTATGTATTCTTTTTCTCTAGTAATTTTGGCAACCTGGTTAGTTATGTGCTTCTCTATACATATTGATATCTAGTTTATCTATCTATCTCTTTGAGAGTATTTCATAGGCTTCCATTAGTTTGACTGTACTGTCAAAAGTTTATGCCACCTCTTTACTCAGAAATTTCTAAATAAGTTTCTGAATTTTTAGTTCTTTATTTATTGTACCCAGTGGTCTTATTATAAGTTTGTATCAAAATCTTATATAATACTAGTTATTAATATTCCTCTATATACATGTAATATTACACTTGGAATAGATATCTTGAGCTTCTATTTGAGATGATGTAACTTAAAGTTACAGATATACAAATCCAGCTGATTATCAAGAGACAGTTTGCTATAATATAGTTTAATTTTCAAATTTTGTTATAGGTAAAATTGAACCTTAGACCTCCACTTGGAGAATAACAACTCAACTACTACATTAGGATTGCCATCCTCTAAAAAAAAAATTATTACTAAAATTATTCTTTGGACTATCAAATAATTAAATATCATAATTCACTCTCTTATATTATTACCCAAACCCAAATTTAAATAAGCATTGGTCACTTTTATAGGTTTAGATTACAGATTATATATCTAAGTCTTTATTTTTCATATATAATTTAAAAGCAAGCTTTTCTTTATAAAAACTTTAATTGAATTTCAATAAAGTTAAAGATATGGTTTTATTATTAATATTTAAAAAAAAAAAATATAAATTTAGAAAAAAAAAAATTAAATTAAATAAATTATAATTACAGAAGCAACAAGTATTATAATTAAAATAGCAACAACAGATAACTATATAAAAAAAAAATTAAAGCATTAAAGATAAATATAATGTAATAAGACTATAAAGACATAATTACTACAATTAGAAACCAAAAAGAAAATATAAGAAATAAAAAAGAAAAAAACTATAATAAAAAATAATAAGAAAACAAAAGTAACTTTATAAAAATATTATTAGAACAAAGTATATAGTTATCTTCAAATAAAAACTACATTAATAAAAAACATATGCAGTATAGATATTAGTATACATTGTACCAGATAGTTTACAAAAAAAACAAAATTTATTAAAAGATTACTAGTATTTAATAAATATATTAAAAATATTAAAGAACTGTTTAAAAGCAGTAATGCTTAGATTATTATTATATTTAATTATAAATATAGTAGAGAAGAGTTAATTAGTAAAATTTAATAAAAACAAATAATTAGTTTATAATAATTTTAAACATAAAAGAATCAGAAAAAGACAAAATAAAAAGAAGAAGCAAATACAGATAAAAAAATAAAGAAAATATAGTAATATTATTAGTATAAAATTTGCCAAAAGAAATCTCAAAGTATGGATTAAATACCTAATAAGAAAGATAAGCAAAATAACAGTATGCAAAATTAAGAAAAATATATACAAACAACAACAATAATAAAAATAAAGAAAAAAGATAAAAAAGCATTCTTATAAGTAATCATTCTAAGAAATGAAAAGTTAACAAGAATGATAATAAGTGAAGAAAAAGAGAAAAAGAAATAAAAAAAAACCAATTTACTTTAAAATTAAAAAATACTAAAAGGAATTTCCAAACTAATCTTATTATAAAAATTCAAAAAAGTTAGAAAAACAATAACATTATATACAAATAAAAAAGACCAAGAAGTTACATAGTAGTATTATTTAAAAGTCAAGCAAATATAAGCATAACTACTAAGAAAAAAGTCTAGTATAACAGAATTTTGATGTTCTGAGAAGTTAAAACAAAAAAAATAGATAAAGAATTTTATAAAAATAGTAACAAGATACAAAAAATATAAAGAAAAGAAGCAATAAAAGACACCAATTTAAAAAAATATATATAAACATAGAGAAGTCTATGAATGAGAATAAGTGCAATATAAAGTCAAAAGATAGAAGAAGTAAATAAGAAAGCAAAAGCTATTAGAACAAAAGAAAAAATAAAGAAGACCTAATTGTTATATATCAAAAATAAAAAAAAGCAAGAGAAGAAATCAAAAGCATAAATAAACTACAAAAATAAGTACTAAATATAAAAAATATACTAGTCCAAAAACCAAAAAAATAAAAAACTTAAAATAACTAGAAAGAGGATATAAAAAACCCAAGCTGATTACTTCTAAAAGCATCTTATTTAAACTAATAAAAATATACTAGGAGCTCAAAAATTTTTTGTAAAAAAAAAGAGAAGTATTTAAAGAAAAAACTGTATCTATTTGTTAAAAAAAGAAAAGATTAAAAAAAAAGAAAGTAAAAAATATAAAAACAGAACAAAACCAATTAAAAAAAAAATTAAAAAAGAAAAAAAGAGATAAAAATAGTATACATAATATTATTAGATTAAAAATCAAAGGTTAAAAACTTGAAAATTTGCTTGACTAAGTAGAAAAAAAAATGCAATATAAGAAATTATGAAGAATAAATCTTATAGAAAGAAAAAAAAATTCCTAATATAAAAAATAATTAAGAGATATACTGAATATTAGAATAGTGTAACTGAAGACAAGAAAAAAGAAACAGATATAGAAATTTTGATAGAAAACATTAAAAAAATTATGTATATATAGTTAAAATAAATAAGTATATAATAAAAATTATATTATATTTCAAAAAATGAAGTTAATAGTTATAGAAGTTTATATACTAACAAACAACAAAAAAATGAAAAAATATTTAACAAAAAATAATAAAGATAGTTATAAAAAAAAAAGGCAAATGCAAGTAATTATTATAAATAACTTTAATTACATAGTAAACAATATATTAGATAGACAAAATTCACAAGTTGTAAACTTTAAAAGATTGCCAATATTTAATTAAATAAAACAATAAGACTTCTATAATAGATACAGAAAATGTATCCAACAGAACAAAAATAATATAATTAAATGCAGAAGCAGCAACAAAAATTAATTACATATAGATATAAGAAAAATTAGTTTCAAGTCTACAAAGAACAAAAATTGAAAATATAAAAAAATTACTAAAAGTGATTACAAGATAATAATAGCTAAAATATGATTGAAGTATATAAAAACAAAAGCAGCAAGGCAGAAAACAAAAGAAAAAATCAATCAAAAAAATATATTTCTATAACAAAACAAAAGATAAAGTATAAAAGAACTATATATATAAATTACAAAAATGATTAGAGATAAAAGAAACATTGAAGCATATTTAAAAGAAAGAACATGAAGAAAAAATAATACAAAAGATAAACAATATATGAGACTTAATAGAAAAGACAATTATAAAAGTAGCAAATAAATATATATTTAAAAAAATAATATATAATATAACAACAAACAGAAGGCTTAGTTAGAAAAATTAATAATAAAAGAAGGCTATTATAAAGCTCTAAAGATTAATTAAATATACAAAGACAAGAAAAGAATAAAAAGTTATAAAAATAAAAAAATAAGTTAAATAGAAAACTTAAAGTACTAGGCAAGAAAGGCAAAATTAGAATCTGTGCCCGGTTTGTCGATTATCATGCATAATTTGTGTAATGTCTACATGCGATACTGTAATATCTATATGCACGATGTAAATTAGTATATAATATAAAATTAATACATAAAAGATCAATTTTTACTTGTACTCTTCGCGAATTTCAAATACGCGTTTAGGATCAAATTTTTGTAAAGGTTAATGATATTACATCTTAACAGATGGAGTATGAAGCTATTATATATATATAACTTAAAAAACCCGATTTAAAATAGCAGTTTACATTTGTAGAGACATAATCAAGATATATATAAAAAACCTTTATCAATTTTTATATCATGATAATAGCGATAGCGATAGATCTAAACATATTTTATTACTTATAACAATAGTATCTTAAACATATTTTCTTATAGTGATAGTATTTTAACCATATTTTCTTACTTATAGTGATAGTATTTTAACATATTTTCTTCTTATAGCAATAATATCTTAATGTTAATATATTTTATACTTCATACAGTATTTCATACTTAACAATTTCACAAACTGACTAGCTAATTTATTTATTTTACTTTACACCATTAGGTCGGTTTTCTTTCAGAGCTTGATATAAGTTGTGTGGTCGCTTCTTCATATGTCTTTTCTGTGCCGGCATAATTGAGTGATTAAGTTCTTGCGTTTTGGTATTAACTTTTGAGCTTTTAGTGGTCTTCCTTGATGTACTTTTTTGAGTCCACAACTCAAACTAACTTTACGTCGTGAAACAGCAGCAACTTGAACTCGGATTCTTCTTCCTCCACGTTGATAAATATTACCATTAGCCTGACCTTCCTTCCTACCACAAGTGTAAAGAAACGAAGCCACTGCTGGGAGAATGTAAGTATTTTGCATGGACTGACATCGTTTGTATACTTCAACAAACCTTTGAACACTATTATTTAATACATGATAATTTTGTTTCAAAAGATCTTCCAGATCATTACAGAACCAACGAAGTTTTTCTATAGCATTTTCTTTATCATTATTAATAATATTATTATCATTAGTGTCACTGCTACTATCGCTATTAATACTTTTATTATTGTCAACATTATCGCAACTATAGCTATCATTATGACAATTATCATCGGCATATATACCAGTATTAATAGTATCACTAAGTTTTAATTCACTATCAGTTACTAAATATGCATCTTTCTCTTTTTCAAGCTGATGAAGGTCTGTATAAAAATCAAGGGACTTACACTTTTTACCTAATGCCAAGAAGGCATAATAATGTCGTTTACTAGCAGACATTGTAGGCAATTGATTTAATCCGCATACGTGAAAATGTTTTGCTATAGAAGCTTGATGCTTGCACGGCGCTTCTATTAAACTACACTCACAAGTTCCAAGTTGCATATCAACCAGGTACCACATATCTTTATTCCTGCTGCTTCTATGTCTAAAAACCATTGAGCTTTGATTCACAATTTCTATATCATCTTTTGTTCCAATTGGCCATTCAGAAAGTCTAAAACGAAGTGCAATAAAGTTATCCAAATTATTGTGTGCCACCGCCAATAATCTACGAATATAGTACAAATCTATTGTATTAATTATGAATTGGTAAAGTTGTACTAAATTATATGCTTGTACTTGTTTAAAGATTATATCTTTCAAAATCTGAATGCTGGCCTCTGCAAAATTGTTGGTATAGTTATTACGAACTGAAAGGTCCTGATGAAATGCAATAGCCCATTCGTACCGCCGATTTCAAGAAGCTTTAAAATGGGATTGAAAGGCTGGATACTTTAAGTATATTTGACTAGTTATTAAATTATTGTATGCTAAATTGAGCATTATCTCTGTTTTAGCAAATACGATTTTTTTTACATGTTCAATTAGAGTTATGCGATCATTGTTATGAATACCATGTTTGCCATCCCAAAGCCACCTCCACATTGCTTGCAAAAAGTGAAAGACACATAAAAGCAAGGTTGCATCTTTCTAGATATTACTTAATGCTGTTCTCTCTGCATTACAGTTATCTGTCATTATCACCTGTGGTCCAACAATACTACCGTGTTTACCAAATGCTATTGATAGTATCATGTGGTTTAATATATCTAGCGCTTTAGTAAAAGTATTTGTTGATTCATCTGAAGTAAGGATTACAGCGAGAGGCAGACCACCAACAGGTGTGCTTGTTGAAAGAATTATTAAGGGAGTATTAAGTATATCTAACCCAGCAGTTGTGTCCATGTATACTAATTCACCTGCCTCCTGTAATTCATAACAACATATCATAAGGTTTGTTAAGATAACAAGAATAAGTGGCTGTCCAGGATCTTCCTTTTCTGGTGCAATATATGATTGCAACCACGCTTTTTCTTTATGGTTATCATTAAATTCAGAAACTTCTTTCACTAATCGGTCAAACATTTCCTTTCCGTTTTGAGCACCTACGTGCTGCTTACAATGTTTTTTATAGAGATAAAAAATATCACTTTTACGTGGTGCTGTTGATCTATCGGCTAAAACTTCTTCATCATTTTCACAGTTTAATTGCAATTGTTCCCAATACGTATGATATGCACTACTGGGATTATGACCTGTTTCAAAAAGTTTAATGATTTTATTTTTTGTTTCATTAGATAATGGACGAAAACTCATGACATGGCTAGACTTAAGAGGATGATTATGATCAAAGTGTAAAGAAACAATGCACGGGTAAGGATCAGATCTTTTGAGTAATTGAATACTCAATGTTGCCGGACAATTGGTATTTTGCTCCTGTGTATTTTTCATATTGGTTTCGCCATTGTTTTTTATTCCTTGCTTTAATTTAACAATGTGGCTATGGATACAGTGAAACCATTTGGATAGGATATAGTGTATTTCTTTAATAGTACGTCCATGGGTTTCCCTCATTGTTATTTTATGCATGTCCATGAATTTCTGAAGCCATGCTTCAGATTCTTCAATTGTTAGAATGTTTATACGACAGCTGGCCTTAAAAGGCGTTTCATAGGCATCCAAAAAGCTGTGTGATGAAATTTGTTCAAAGCTTTCTATGAAATATTTATAATTAGAAGGTAATGCTTTTTTAATAATAGATTCAAAGATATTTAGATCCTTCATATTTATAGTCTCAGAATAAGAAATATCATTTAAAATTAATTCCATGGTCACGCCTTAGATATGCTCTTATTTTTTAGGTAATATTATGATTTGGGAAGAATTTCGTAAAATCCAAAAAACTGATTTTATTGACAATACTTTCTTATATATGGCTTTATGTTGGATTCAGATTTGCAAGAAAATTATTACAATTACAAATCGTGATGCAAGAATAATGTAAGGTTTCAGATATTCATTTGCTATCTACTTATGTCACGATTAAACTTCGATCTGCAAGAGAAATGTAATTAACAATACGATGTTTCAGTTACTTATCCTAATTTCTACTGATGTCATGATCTCTCAAATTTATGAAAGTAATATAGTCATTAATGAACAATTAATATAAGGTTTCAGATCGTATTTTGCCTCATGGTAAGTACTTATAATTAAAATTGCTTAAATTCTAATACATGCAGCTACTACTAATCAATTAATAATAATTATCTAGTCCTGATTGTATAAACAACAGCAATTACAATGCGAACAGTGGCGTAAGGTTTCAAATATTCATATCATTAATATGGGTAATTATTATGGGTAATTATTATGAGAGATGTACATGAAATGAATTTGATTTTTAATTCAGAATTCCAGTATATTACTAATTACAAATCGCAAGTCATCAAACTATTTACTGATGAATCTGTATTAACTATTATAAAATATCCTTTTATTTTCATTTATTTTTTTTATTTTTCATTTATTTATTTTAGTTTTTTTACATTTATAATAACAATCTTTTTTTTCAATAGATAAACTACTTAAATAATATGGGATCTTTGCTATGAAACTGACCCTCCGAGACTATGTTAATTTTGTGAATAAAATTAAAATTGTCAACCATCTAGTTATCCAATTTAAATGAACTTTTTTTTATTTTGTGGAGCTAAATAAGCTCTACAAAATAAAACAAAGATCATTCGAATTGGATAACTAGATGATTGGCAATTTTAATTTTTATTCACAAAATTAACATAGTCTCGGAGGGTTATTTTCATAGCAAAGCTCCCATATAATGATTTTACATTAAAGCCGAGCATCTTTAGATATTTTAACATATACTTTACAAGTTCAATTTATTTCTTAAAAATCAAAGCAATTTATATACTATTAATATTAGATATTTCTTTACATTATATCGATATTGTTCAAAATAAATGATTTTAAGCAAGGATGATATGATTACATGTGATGTAAATGTTTTGATTTAGAAAGTAATAAGCTGGAAGCAGTAAATATGAAAACTTACGATCAATTATACTGACTTATCTTGGGTTCACACTGCCCGGTACCGGTTTGTGTTCCCTCATACAACATTGTACGAGTGCCTTAGACCTTCCAGTCAGGCTGGTATGGCACGGGTTACAGGTATCCTATCCCAACCAATCACGGAAGACAGTTAGCCATAACACAGAAAGAATTGCAAATTTTCGCCGTCACTGGGATTTGAACTCTAGACCTGCCACTTGGGGGTTGACAACCTATCCACTTCACTAGATCACCACACCTTACATATATTTTATTTTAACAACTAATCAAACCTACAAACAATATGAAATTACAAAGTTATTAAAAAACTTAAAGACTAAAAAACCTTAGTGAATACAATTATAAATTTTACTGAATTTGTCTCGTCTTTATCTATAGTATCACCTTTATCTACTATATATAACCACCTCTGTGCTAAATGTAACCTACCAATTGCCTGTAAAAAAATGAATAACCAACATTAACTGGCAACTGATACTACTTTATATAATGACAAACCTTATAATAAAGCCTGTACTAGCACACAACAATTCACTCAACAATCAAGCTCATCTCCTACATTTATTTAAAAACTTCAACAAACAATAAACTCCTACAACCCACTTGCATCTAAACTTACCTTTACAACATTACCTAACAACAATAACAATACTACAAATAATATAGAATGGACAACAATATTATTAATAATAATAATTAACAACAATATCAACAACAACAACAATTACTATTTCAAAACCTATTTTATTCTTAAGAACAATAATAATAACAACAACAACAATAACAAACAAATAATCAACAACAACAGCCAACACAAACTAATACTACTAACAATCAACAAAAAATTAAAACTAATCTAACATTTGACTGGCTTGCTAATTTTCTAATCTCTAATGATATAAAAGACAAATCACAACTTCAAACAGAATTCTCAAGAAAAATTTTTAATTTTCTTAAATTTTATCTACATAATTTCTATTCTGGCAAAGAAATCAAATCTGAAACTCCTAAACAAAAGGCTCTTAAAGACAGCTTTTATTACATTATTTGCAAAATGACTAGAGACAATCCTGAATTCTTTACCAAATTTATTCAAAAAACTAATTCAAATATTGACAAAACAATTACTATTTCTTTTGATATACTTAAAGAAACTCTTAAAAAACTTATTCTAGCATTTACAACAATTCTTTTTACAAAATTCAACTATTTTAAAATCTTTGTCCTTCAGCTACTATCTCCTCATATACCAACCAAAACCATTTTTAACTCTGCATTAACTTAGTTCAAATTCATTTATATTTCTCAAACAACTATCAAGTAATTGATTAAATCAAATTTGCTGAAGACTTCCAACTCTGACCTAAAAGATTTAATATTATATCAAAAGTATCTGACTTTGATAAAGAAAAACAATATGTCATAATTAGATCTGATAATAAATTCAATATTTATCTTGATTTTAACATTTTAAAAACACTTTTTTATCAGAAACTTAATATTTCATCTCTTGCAAACTCTTTAGACTATTTAAAACAATGGTTCAAACAATTCTTCCCAATATATAATTGACAATTCATCTAAACACTTGATGAAACTAAAGTATTTAACTTTTTAAAATATTAAATTCAACAAAAATTTATTCTTTACCTTAAAGAAACCCTACCTATAAAAATACAATTTCAACAACCTCACAATTTATTAAAACATCAAAATAAAACTATAAAACTAGCCAATTTTCATATTCTTACTTATAAGAAAGAAACTTGTTCATATTTAGAAAAAACAAAACCCAAAAACAAAGAAAAGAATCAGAAAATACAAACCTATCTATCACAACTTCTCTACTTCAATTTTAATACAACTTTTTACAATTATTAAATGACATCTTTAAACATTCATATACAGACTTTTCAAAACAAGAAAATGGAATTTGGAAACAACCTAAAATTGACCCATCCATATTTTATAAAAATAATAAACATAAAGCATCCTTTAACAAACAAATCCCCATCTCTTTTCTTAATAAGCTTACAACCAAAATAGAAAAATCTGCTTGCAAAATCAACAATGTTTCAACCAATCCCAAATGTTATAGCTACTATTTTTATTTATATCTAAATTTATACCAAAATATTGCAGCACAAAACCATTATATAATTATAATAACTCTTTTCGTAAATTATTTTTACACAAAAATAACTAAAAATTCATCAGCACTAAAATTGTTAATATCTGATTATTTTATTAAGATATCTTAAGATATCTAACTTTGGCGTCTTAAGTAAATTTATTCAGCTACTAATTTTACATATATTCTGAAAGTTTCAAAAAGATAGTTCTCAAACTCGCAGTTTAATACTGCAATAACAGCCTTTGGGTTTCTAAACTCTTTATTTAATTATTTCTCTATAACTAGCT